ACACACACACACACACAATTTAAAATAAAGTGAATGAATTTTAAATATGGTGGAGAATCATAAAGGCTCCCAACAACATCCCCTCTGGTCTCCATATGCACAGGCAAGAGTAGTGCACACACACATGCACAAACATACACCACCTTGGTAGCAAATTTTCATGTACAGAAGTGCATTGGAGTTCTGAATTCTTGTAGAGAGGAAGAAGAGGAAGAGGACCATATTTGTTTCATGAAACATAATTGTTGTGGCAGTTGGTACAGTTCAGTGTGTGTCATATATTTTTAGTCTTTATTACAGTTGTATCCTTTTGGCTTGAAGCAATGAAATTATTTCCTACATGACATTTCCAACGCTTCAATATGAAAGCTACATTATTTATGAAGCTATGGCTTAGCAACAAAGGAAAAGGAAGTCTGTCCTTTCTGTTCTCAAGGGAAGCAGAATGCACTGAGAGAGCCTTGGGCCAGGGAGGAAGAGCAGATGCCTGCGCTAGCTCAGCTGGCCCGCCAGTATCCTCAGGTGAGGTCAGAAAGAAAATGTACAACCTCCTTGTAACTTTAGCGTCACATTTGTGACATCCAGGACTAGGTAGGTGTCCCTCCTAGTCTGTATTTTCCTCATTCTGTGGAAGCAGAGTTTGCCATCTTCCCGCAGCCCTTGGCTGCGAAGTCACCGTTGCTAGGATTGCTGTAGTGAGATGCACAGTGTTCTTCATGCAGCCGCAGCAAGGTGCTTGTTACTCTGTCCATTTCCAGCCGGAAACAGTCTTTGTCCAGGTTTTTATGATGCCGTTTGTAAAGTTGTTGGTCTTCATTCCTTTCTAAGCCTCCGAACACAGGATGCTGGTGGGTTTGTTTGTTTGTTTGTTTTTGAGTTATTTCTATCTTAAGACAGAAATTTTGGAAAGGCTCTTGTGTTCTACTGAGGGGAGGGCTGTTGGCGGGGCCTGTGGTACGCCACTTCAGCCGGACGCTCAGACTTGAAGCCACGCGGCTTTTTGCTCCTCTGGGCGCTACTGCCTCTGACGGCCAAAGATTCCTCTCGGACTCTCAGGCACTGCTACGAGTGTCACTCTTCACACCAGAAAACTGGCGGGTACTATGGGGAAAAAAAACAAAACAAGAAGAAAGTGGACAAGGTACTGGAAGAAGAGGAAGAGGAATATGTGGTGGGAAAGATCTGCGAGTTATCAAGGGCAAGGTGGAATATCTTCTAAAGTGGAAGGGTTTCTCAGATGAGGACAACACTCGGAAGCCAGAAGAGAGTCTAGATTGTCCTGACCTCATAGCTGAGTTTCTACAGTCACAGAGAACAGCTATGAGACAGATTAATCCGAGGCAGGCAAGCGCAAAGCTGATTCTGATTCTGAAGATAAAGGAGAGGCAAGCAAGCCAAAGAAGGAAGAAGAGTCAGAAAAGCCATGAGGCTATGCCCTGGGTTTGGAGCCAGAGAGGATTGTTGGAGCTACTGATTCCAGTAGAGAACTCATGTTCCTGATGAAATGGAAAAACTTTGATGAGGCTGACCTGGTCCCTGCCAAGGAAGATAATGTCAAGTGCTCACAGGTTGTTATATTCTTCTATGAGGAAAGGCTAACATGGCGTTCCTACCCTCAGAGGATGATGACAAAAAAGACGACAAGAATTAGCCCTGTTGAGTACCAGCCTCGTCACCTCTGACTGTGGGTTTCAAGGGGGAGGGAAGGAGTTGTTCTTGTCTTGACACCATAGAGGTGGCTTAAGAAGATGTCCTTTGAAGAGCCAGCATGGTTTGTGTCCTGCAGCATAATTCAAGTGCTTTAAATTGTTCAAGCTGTATAGTTTGCAGACCCATCCCAATGGAGGGAAAATGTGTTTCAAGGCAACCTGTTCTGCGCTTTGCTAAGGAAGCAGTGGACCTTCCATGAAGGACAAAACCTGCAGACTGGGATATGGGAAAGCAAAGATACTGTCAGTCTTCAAAGAGCATCTCCACAACCCACAGCCTTCTTCCCAATAATGTTAACTGCATTTTTACAGCCTCACATGTGTGTGGTTTTTTTGGCTATTACTGGTATATTAATTGAAGGTGGGAGGGTTGAGGCAGGGAGGAAGGGAGATGGGTGGAGTCATTTCGTCTAAACTTCGGGGCCTGATTGGGGAAATGGTGAAACAGTAGAGCAGCTAACTAATAAATTGGTTCTATGTCCAGAATATTTCACTTTTTCAAAAAAATGCCATTAGCACCATGAATAAGGACTATGAGAGACTGTTTAAAAAACAAAAAATTTAAAAAAAAAAAAAAACCTTAAAAAGTCTGTTAATCCTAAAACCTACAGCCAAGGTGCTCCCAACCTGAGCTCAAAGTGTCCCACAAAGGACAAAGCCAGTTCTGACTTACCAAAGCTGCCTTTTGACATGGAAACTGACAGAGAGGGAAAGGTTATTAGAGAGTATAGAGAAGCAGATCACTCTGCCTTAGACTTGCTAATTCTTGAAATTGCAGGGGAAAAAAACCCTTTTTCCAATCACAAAGTTATAAATATCAGTTTGTCCATCTAAAGCCATTGGCTCAAGTATTGCAGGAGGGCCTGTGGGAAATGGAGGAGGGGCCTCTGCTCTGAGGGTGGGAAATCTTGGGGCCCCTCGCTCTCTTTTTGTTTTTGTTTTTTGTTTTTGTTTGTTTGTTTGTTTTTTTCAGCTTTGAACCCTGAAACTGCTTGTGTCAGGTTCAGTTACTGACAGCACAAATTCCATTGAGTCAATTCAAGGACTGAATGACTTTACAAGCCCTGGGCTCAGGAGATTAACTTTCATATGGGGGTAGTGGTTCACTTAAGAATACAAAATCTTCAGATTAACTGATGTCCAAAATACTGTCTTGAATCATGAGATCCATCAAGTTTTAGTATTATCTAGACCTGCAAATAGAACTACATTGTAAAATCTTTTTCAGCATGTGTTAAGATGTATTTGAAAATTTCTGTTTAAGTGTAAACTTCATACCATACTGTCAGTTTTTGTCTTAATAAAGTTATAGAGTTCTAAAAAGGACAGAAATTTTACATATATTCTCAAACCTGTATTAAACTCAATTCCTAATAGACTTAATTTGATAATTTAGTATTCATATTTGTTTGTCTATAGAAAATCTTGCAGCCAGGCAGTGGTGCCATGCCTTTAATCCCAGCACTTGGGAGGCAGAGGCAGGCGGATTTCTGAGTTCGAGGCCAGCCTGGTCTACAGAGTGAGTTCCAGGACAGCCAGGGCTACACAGAGAAACCCTTTCTCGAAAAATCAGAAGAAAAAAAAAAAGAAAAAAAGAAAATCTTGCTTTGATGTTTAAGAATCAAACCACCCAATTAAATATAGACTTGATAAACATTTCTCCCACCTGGATTATTCTATGTGAAACTTCCATTCAAATGTGTAACTTGCCCAGGAAGATTATGCAGGAGCAAAGATGGGCTCAAGTGGAAATCTGGAGTAGGAATCATATGAGCATCCCAGCTTATTTAAAGTAAAAGCCTTGGGTGTAAAATTGTTAGCTTATTTTAAATAAATCAATAGAGCACCAGGCATAGTCATATTTAAAATATAACTGTGACATTCATATAATGTGTCATTATACAGACACTAAAATTATGTCTATGAAGAATTTTTAATGACATAGCAAATCGCTGCTTCCGTAGTAACTGAGGAAGCAGTGTTTGATAGTTTGATCTCAGCTGAGAAGGTAAAACATCCACATCTCAGCTGGAGTTTTCTCTAGATAACACTACTGTTGTGGAAACATTCTTTTCTCTAGTTTTACTTTTAAAGACTCAACTAGATTTTTAAATAAAACTTACAGCCAAGGTGCTCCCAACCTGAGCTCAAAGTGGCCCACAAAGGACACCAGATTTTAAATCTAGATTACACTGTGCATCTTTTTTATGATTGCAATGTTGAGTTCTCCAATGCCTGAATTCATCAAGGAATGAGCCTACATGGAGAATAATGCAAATGTCAAACTTACTCCTTGACCCTGAGGCCACAGCAGCAGGTCGTGGCTCAGCGCTGAGAGTCCAGACCCTGAGGCCACAGCAGCAGGTCGTGGCTCAGCGCTGAGAGTCCAGCAGCATACATCATTCTTGGAAGAGTGAGACACAACACAGAAGAAAAAGCTGAAGACAAGAAAATAAGTCTCAGATAAGATGAAAAACTACATACAGACTCTGTCCCAAGAAAAGAGTCAAGTGGTCCGCTCAGGCAGATCTGATCTTGAGTTTAGAGTTGGAGCACAGAATAGGCAGTTGTACCCGTAGAAGTCCTGAGCATAAAACCAAGTGGCAGATCTGGAAACTATTGTGTATTTTAGAAAAGGATGAGCACAGACTAGAAGCGAAACTGAGGGCAAATGTGAGGAAAGTGGCAGGAGAGAGACCATAGCCGTCACTGAAGGCCGGTCAGCAGCTCTGGTCTTTGCCTGTAAATAACAAGAAACCATTAGAGATTTAAGAAATCTTTAGAAAGATTCCTCTGGTGGCGCGTGGAGAACTGGGGAGTAAGATGTCAGGACGGATGCTGTTGTGCTGTTAAGCAGAGACGTGCGGTTAAACCTGAGCTGGGCCTGCGGCAGGTCGATGGGGGCGGGCAGCCCTGGGCGTGCTGTAGGAAGGAGAAAGAACCAGGAGCAACCTAGACTGGGCGGCACTGGAGGGGCGCTGGAGTTGATGGGCTGTGGTATGCAGTATGTTTGAAGCACATAGATTTTAAATCATTCTCAGCTTCCTTTGCTTTCCCAGGGTTCTCTGACTCTCTCTCCCCGCACTTCCTGTCTTCTCTTCTTTTCTCTTCTCTCCTCTTCCCCTGCCTCCCTTTCTTCTTCCCTCCATCTCTCCCTTCTTCCCCACACACTCACGCAGTAAACTTATGGAGCCCTTCCTGTATACCGGCACTGCCCCAAGCACAATAATACATGCTGAATAATACATGTTTTTATGTTGGAACTACTACTAATGGCAATTTTCTTTGTAGGTAGTGCCATCATTTCTGTTATATTTCTAAAAGAAAATTTGAGAGCCTCAGATTTACTAGGTGAGTAACCATTTAATTCATGTGTTATAACATCTCTTGATCAATAAATAATACTACCTAAGAAATTACATACTTAAGAACAAAAGTTAATGAAGTGGATGCAGATCTCAGGGTGAGCATCATGTCTGGGGCCACTCCCCCTCCCTTCTCACAAGAGCTTCCATCTCGTGGTGCCTGCTGCTGCTGTTATTGCCAATAGCAAATTATTATTTTGCAATATTGTTGTTGCTAATGTTGTGATACTTTTATGAACATAATAAGATTCAGGGAAACCATCTTCAGTTACCTATTAGACTATTCTATTTGAAAGTTCATATTTGCTAGGTTATTATGTTTATACTGCCTAAAACCAAAAGTCACAAAATATTAGTTCCATCAAACAGTACCTACTTGTATTTAGTGCCTTCCAGAGGTAGCCTACATATTGTTTCTGCAAAATTTTATTTAGAGGGGTTGAGAAGATGGCTTAGCAGGTAAAGCGTTCTCTGTGCGAGCATAAGGACATGTCTGTGGCTTCCCAGCACTCACAGAAATCCTGACTAAGCTCTGTGCTGAGGAGCTGAGGAAGCAGAGGCACCTCCTGGGGGCTTCCTGGCGGCCCAGTCTAGCTGAACAGAAACCTCCAAGTTAGTGAGATCCTGTCTTGAAAAATAAAGGATTCTATAACTAAGGTTTGGCGAGCATTCTTGAGAAGAGGACAGAAGGACTGTAAGAGCCAGAGATTAGGGAGTTTGCTGTGAGATGGTGTTTCCTAGTGCTGTCAGAAGCTACACCCAGAAAGTCTCACCAACATGACTGCCCAAGCATGAACTGAAAAGGATATCAACAGACAAGCCAGAGTAGACGGGGAAAACCCACAAGGCTGCAGCCCGACACGAAGAACTACAGGCATTTGAAATTTGAAATGCTGAGAGCAGGAGACATAGACATTCTTGGGAGAGCACACCAATCGTTATCCCATACTAAACAGTCAGTGCTGAAAGCTCCATGTGAGTGATAGGGTACCAGCTGAGCAGGTTATATCTAGAAATATATATGTGTGTGTGTGTGTGTGTGTGTGTGTGTGTACATATATGCATGAAATAACAAGTAATGAAAGAGACCGTGAATTTGAAAGGATTTGGAGAGGGGAAAGGGAAAGGAAAATATAAAATAAAAATAAAGGAGAGAACCCTTAAAAGCAGGCAAGCAGATTTTGACCTTTGACCCTCTGCTATGCACTCACCACACAGGCATATACCACACCTAAGTAATTGTTTGAAAAATAAAAACAAAGAAAGTTTCTGTCTTTGGAAATATAGTTATTGATGGAAATTAACAGTGACCTTACTGCTTATAATAAAGATTTCTATTATACAGCAAGGCTATCTTGTGTCTTTTAGCTTTTGTTGGGAATTATTCATGAGAATTATAGAGGTCCATATGTTTTTCCTTGACAAAAGCCTGCCTTATTTCTTCTGATATATGATAATGGATACTTTATGCACTTTAAACAAAACAATGCCTACCCTCTTCCAGGGAGTTGGTTTTGTTTGTTTGTTTTTAATGTGAACTCTGGATTTGACAGCTGTTGTGGTATGCCGAGCACACACATACACACACCACTTTCCTTGAGTATAATATCTTGAAAGTGTCTTCACTTTTTCCTTTCCACTTTGGTTTGTTTCTGCTGGGAGAGTTTTCAGTCAACATTGTCTAATATTTCATAGTTAAATGTTTTCTAAATGCACTTATGTGTGATTATATCTTTTCCAACACCCTTTTGATATGCTGTATTTTATAGGATCATTTGGGAAAGTCATGTGAAATCAGAAATAGGAACAACTAACACGTAGGTTTTAAAACCTACAAAAAAAAGTTTTATATTATTTTTCTTATTTATCAAATGTCATAGGGGAACTTCAAATCCTTTCATCTGACACCTGCCATCTCTTGTAGTTAATGGGTGGTTACTGACTAAATTTACCCAACTTAATAAGATTGTATAGCTGGGTAATAGAGGATTTCCTGTCTTGACTATTGCTGTAAAATTGTCTTGACTAACAGTGATGAAGAGATAATTATGACTGAAATCTTGTTCTAGCTTTTTTTCTTCTGTTGCTGAGTTTAAGATAGATATACCAACAAACACAACTTTAAGGGACAGACAGTTTCATTGGTTAACAAATTCACACTACAGTTCATTACTGCTGGGTGGTCACAGTGGCCGGAACTTAAAGCAGCTGGTCACATCCACAGCCAGAAGCAGAGATGACACATGTTCCAGTATTATACATATGACTTATTTTTTAAAAAAACATATTTATTTATATAATTTATCATTGAAGGTAAATTATTTGTAGTCAGGGATTGTGATATGCATGCACTTTTAACTATTAACTTGACACAACATAGAATAACCAAGGAAGAGAGTTTCAATGAGGGACTGTCTAGATTAGGTTAGCCTGTGATCATCCATGGAAGACTGTCTTAACTATACTTATGGAAAAGACTGGCATAGACCAGATGTAGGATATAGAGGGGCATCCAGGAGCTCAGCAACCAACACAGCAAGTGTGAGCAAAGAATAGAATTGGTTTGGTAAGTTAACTTTGGTAAGCAGTTCAAAGTGTTGCTTTTGTAGAGGACCCTGGTCCAAGTGCCAACACCACATGGTGGCTTACTGCCATCCATGGCTCCAGCTCCCAGGGACCTGATACCCTTTTGAAGGATAGATATACATGCAGCCAAGAGGTTTACAAACATAAAATAAATTTTTAAAAATTTCAAAAAGGAATAGAGAAATGAAGTAAGCTTCTCCTTGTACCTGTGCTGCAGCTGCTTCCTGAAGAACTCGGGAGAGCAAACGGGAGCCCTAACTATTGCGACTGGTAAGGTAGAAACACTGAAGTCTCAGATCAACTGAACATTACGAAAAGCAAAGAAATAGTCTTCCTCCCGTGGATTCAGCTTTGCTGTGTGCGTTTTACACTGTGTGGCCACTGCGTATTATGTGAGAAATATAAATATCTCTCACTGTAATTAACATAGTTACTATGATCAGTATCATTCTCAAGAGATTTCCAGAAGGTAATGCTAAAAATCTAACATGAAGGATGGAAGCATCTCCGTCACCACACACCAAGAAAACATCAAAATAGGGCAAAGATCCGTATGTGTGTTAACAGCAGCCAGCATCTCTTAAACATTCCTTTTTGCCAGGTACTATGATGTGTTTTACATTGAATATATTGTTTAACTGTGGGAACAAACCCATTTCCAGAAGCAAACTGGATCAGAGAGATTAAGTAACTTTCCCAGGGTCACGTAATTGGCACGTGACAGAAAGGTGTTGTAACCATGGCAACCTGACAGAGCAGGAACTCTGGTCTAGGATATGCCCCTAAAGCCATGCAACATGTGAGGTTATTTAAATACATTCTTTAAGCCTTAATTTCCTCATCTTTAGAAGTCAGATTCTATTACATATGAATGAATGTGTATATTAAAATTTTTAGAACAGGGCCTGTCACATCATAAGTACTGATTAGTCATTACTTTTATGACTACTACAACCACTACCACACTCTCCAGTTAGTCAGAGGACACCTCAGGACACACTTGAGGAAGGTCTCCAGGGCTCTAGTCTGTGGCTTCGGCTTGTCCTTTAACCAAGTGTTTTGGTGGGAATGGCACTGTTAAGTGGCCTTTGTTTCACGCCTCAGTTGAGAGAGATCAGTTCTTACCTTTAATGTTGTGCTATCGATGAGAAAGTGGGTGAGCCATCCTTTCCATACCCTCTCCTTCAGCAAGGAAGGCCATGAGATGATCACTACCTAAGATGTGCTAACTCGCTCACTGGGAGGCCAGGGACACTCGTCCTGCCTCATTCAGTAATGTGTATTTTCCTTGTGCTTCCTTACTTTTGTGCTTTCTGTTAAAAGCTAAGAATGCAGGGTTTGGGTTTTTTTTTTCTTTTAGATAAACAAAAACCAAACAGGGGAAAGAGTAGCTAGTGGTGTTTTCTTAAAGGCTAACATATGTGCACGCTAAAAATTAAATTGTCAGATTGTGAAAAGGAATATCATTTATTTTTCCCCTGCTTCAAACAAATGAAAGTTTGTGTTTCATGATGGAACAAATGAAGATTTGAGGCCATGTGGAAACAAGCTGAACTAATTTACTGCCAAATGTTGCTCTCTGGCCAGGAAGTTTTTCACCACAAGCCTCAAAAAAATGACCTCACAAAAGCCTTGTCTGAAAGGACTCACCAGCCATTATTAATTAACTCACTGACAGGCCTTGGCCCCCGTTCTGATTCTTAGTGGATTAATAATTTTAAATTATTTTAATGATTATTTTTTCTTTAAAAAAAAGAAAGAAAATGAACACCAGACTCCTCTCTTTCCTTCTTCTTCATCAGTCATCAAAGTGTCAATCTAATAGTCTGTGAAAACCACATTGATTTAGGACCAGATAATAACATCATCAAAATACAAATTACAGTATAGTCCTCAGCACTCCCCTGAGACCAGAAACTTCATACTTCAAGAGCCTACAATAATTTCCCTAGGTTGATAGTGAGACCAAGGCCACTTAGTTTCCTTCTCACCCTTCTCCAAGATCACCATGGTTGGGTTCATTTGTCTAGAATAAGAATCCAGCGAAGTGAAGTGCCATTCTAGCTGAGAGGACAGAGTGCCATTTTTATTTCAGAGCAGCCTCAAGATGGGAAGCCTTTCTGATGTTGAGTCCAGGACTACCTAAGACCTGAGCCTGAGGAATCTGGACTCAATTGCTGCCCTAGTATTAATTAATACAGTTCATTATTCCAGTATTCCAAGAGAGTAATCCTTGGATTCTCCTCAATCAAGAGATAATGCAGTGCCCAAAAGAACTGTTTGGAGTCAGGTTAGCTGAAAAATTTAAAACTGAAGGCCCTCAGAAGTCAGGTCAAGACAAATCCTGGGAGTTATAAAATTAAAGTTTAGAATTTAATTAAAAAATAGTAATCTGGTAAA